ACTTGACTTGACTTGACTAAGGAATGGTTTGATATTGCATCACTATAAATTGTAGGATGATATTATCTCCTCTCCTCTCTGAAGAATTCAAACAGTTGTTATGAGTGCCAGAATGAAACCTTCCTAAGCAAAGCACACTATTCAAATGTACCCATGAAGCTAGGACTTATTTGACATGCAAGGAAGAACAATTCCCAAAGCGAAACAAGAAGCAGAAACAAGGACGACAAGGGAGCTAACCCAGAGGGAAAACAGGGGAAGACAACAACAATGAAACACTGGGGACACTAAAAAGTATAAAGATAAAAAGAATATCACTTCAAAAAACAAAAATGCAGAACCAGAACATGTTCAATAGTACTGTGTTACAGTATAGAGAAATAAAGTATATTCTGTGCACGTTAGTAGCTAGGATATTCAAGCCAAATAAAACTGGTGTGGTACATAATCCTGACCATATAATTATATTTATTTATTGCTGTGGACCAACACAATGGTCTGAAATTCCACAATGTATGAAATTCACAGGAAAGTCCACCACAGCAGTTTTACTGATCTTTACTTACATTTGCCTTGCAGCTTGTAAAAAGTATCTTTAATGTGAATTAACCTCTTTTGAGAGATGTTTTACTCACCATAGAGTTTCCAGTCGGTCACTGGTGACATTGCACATGCACATTTAAACAGGCTGTCAGTAGACTTCAGCATCATTAATGTTATGTAGGCTCCATATCCCTAAGTGAGCAAACACAAACATTTATTCATCTCTAATTGCTGAAATCCATCAAGTGTAAAAATGAACTTGGATTCAATCTCTGGAGTCACTCAGTAGAAATTTTACTAAGTAGCTTCTTGGCACTTAATAATTTCAGCAATGGAAGTAAGAATACAATTTAGATGGTCGCAAATTTAATGTAGAAAAATGGAGGAAAAAAAGGAGGCTCACCTTTCCAAACACTGCTATCCTTGTCCGGTCAATGTATGGAAACTTCATCATGTATCTGAAAAAACACACACATGCTATATGACCTACAGGACTTCTTAAATGTGGTTGCACGGGAGGAACCAAGAATTGGATATCAATAAATATTAAAAAAAAAACCACTTGAAAAATCGCAGAAACTTCAGTGAGTTCTAATGATTTTATTCTTGGATACATCTCCTGCCTTCATAAACATGCATGAGACGATATGACTGCACCATCAATTTGAGCACAAGAGTAAAGCAAATGATTTTAAATCCCGAGAGTCCTCCTGCTGCCTAAAGAAGGTTCAAAAAATCAACTGTATATGTGTAAAGTCTGATATGAAACTGATATTTTTACAGAATCAAAAATCACAAACCACCCCTGACCCTCATCTCCACTCACTCCACTATGTCATCTACAAGGATCATAGTCGACCTGTACAACATCACTGCAAACAAGAAGCAGCTCAGAGCTCATTTCTGATGCAATCCCATCCTGTAACTTTTACGGCGCACCTCACCACTGTCTCATTGTCTTCATACATGTCTTTCACCACCTCTGCCACTCCTGTGTTCCTCATACAACACTTCCTCTCTTGCAACCCTCTCATATGCTTTCTCTACACCCAAAGACATTGCAGCTCCTTTTGACCTTCTTTATGATTCTCCAGCAACAAACTCACAGGAAAGATCACATCACAAGACCCAAATCAAAAAGCATCATAATGTTACATGTTGAGTCTGGCTAAATGCAAAAAGGCTAATGGTGGCCCTCCATGACGCCTAAGAGACTAGAGTCCATCCTCAGTGTGCACCATATTCTTGCTGTGCCTGACTCTCCCTGTTTTGACACTAAAATGCAAATTAAGCAGAGTGTCTATAAACTTCAAAGAGTTCAGTGGGACAAAGAGGCTGAAAGGATTTTATTTTTTAATTAGCATGAACGAGCAGAGAATTTATACTCCACTGATCACTTATTGCAACTTACTGTACAAACAGTAGCAACAACAACTACTGCCTTGCCCACCAGCAAAGTGCTTTGTTTGTGTACAACATATGAATTTGATGATTAAATTAAAAAAAA